ACACATAAGTAGTAAAACAAAGTAAAGTGCAATTATTGAGACAATAATTATTGTTTAATATAGTGTACTCTTATAGGCCGGTATCAGAGTATGTTGTTAAGCCAGTATTAAAGGACTTGGCCAGGGGCAGGTTGAACAGTCTCTTACCGCCCCGTAGATCCAGTCCTCAGTGAGTCTGTACAGACTGGGTAGTTATCACTCCTCCTGAGTATATGATGGTGTTTAAAGTCCGGCATGACAACGTTGTGGCAGAGTTCTCTGTACCCTGCCTGGGTACCTCTGCCAAGGACCGTTTCCTAGCTGGAACAGAGGAAAAACCTCAGCGCTTCTGCCCAAGTCACCCTGGCTTGGCTGGGGTCCTCCTGGAGCCTCTCAGTCCTGGAACAGTATATGGGACTAGCTCTATTCACTCCCAGGGACTGGACGACACAGTCCTGGGAGCTGTAGTCCTTACAAGGACTTTCCCCGCTCCATGAGCTGGAACAAAGTGCTGACCAGTGATTATCCCCTTCCCCTCCCAGTAACTAGACGGCACATAGTTCTGGGAGAACAACTGAACTTATATTAATTGGACATGGTACAGGCAAGTTATACACAGACCCCCATCAGGGGGACTTCATACAATTACACACAAACTCCTCCCCTGTGCCTGGGAGATAATTGAGTCAGGAACTGTACAAACTCCATTGTAACGGAACGCTGGCACTCCGACTGAGTACCTCCGCCAATCGATGCTCCTAGCGCTCGCTGAGGACTCCAAGCACTCCAACCGACACCATCAGCACTGCAGACCCCACTTCCAGCGATGCAACTGCGCCGGGGTCTCTGCTGTTTCCACCCACCCTGGACCCAAGGCCAGGATCCAGCTTCCAGTGGGTGAACCTCTCTTTCCCCAGAGAGCAGGAACAGGAACAAATCAAGCTATTGCAAGAGCTTCCTCTGGGGAGTAAGTGATTATAGCAATCCCCAGAGTGTAGGTATCCCTTCCCCCAAACATGAGCCAAGGCTTAATGCTGGAACAAGACTGATTTACTGGCACACAGAACTCACAATTTATGCAACACAAAACTCCTCCTCTGGGCCAGGCTAGATAATTGAGTTTCTACAATACACAAAGCTCAATTATCTGCTGGCCAGAAATAATACAGTTTCATAAAACACACAGGGACCCCAAAACATGCAATAACCCCATAAAAGTATATCCTTGGAACCGGGGGATCTGGGTGAACCACATATCCCAAATTCACCCAGATCCGTTCAGTACTTTGGAAAATACAGTTTAATGCAGATTCTGCAGAACATAAACAGGCTAAATGAAAAACAATCACTGTATAATGTGTCCCCTGCTGTATAGTCCAAAACCATTGCACGATGTCTCTGTGCACCAAATACTGGCGAGATGGCACCGTGTTGAAAAGTCCAAACAGTGTCTGTGAGTTAAAATGGCCGCCATCCATTGTTCTCACCATGTGCTTCATCCATTGTTCTCACCATGTGCCTCTGATACAGGAAATGGTGGCCACCCAGTAACTCCACAGTATGTCCCCAGATGGTTCTTAAAGGGCCAGCAGCAGCACAACACAAATCCATTATGCCCAAATCATGTCTTTAAAGGGCAATACATCCCAGGGGCCATAGTCACAGGGCAAGAGGCGGGCAAGCAGTCCTCTCCAGGCACAAGTGGCGAAGGGCACTTCGTCACATCCATTATCTCACAGGTACAAAAAAAACATAAAATTTTAAAACACCCCACAAACACATTTTAATATTTCAGAACTCCACGAAAATTACATCACCGAATAGCTGGTATTTGGGGGAGATGTCACGGCAAGGGTATATAATTCATTGTTGCACTATAAAATATCGACATTTAATGTAATTTGTGTAGTGCCTATATGAACTGGCTGCCTGGTAGAGGTAATATTGGGCAGACTAGATGGGCTGAATGGTAATTATCTGCCGTCGCATTCTATATTGTCAATTTCAAAAGAGGTTAATTGATTGTATGTGAGGGCAGAAGATTTACAACCCAAGTTCCTCTTTGGCGCTGGGACCCCAACAGAGCTATTCTGTAAGTTTTGATAAGTTACACATAAGTGGCCTGGAAGTCTGGCTTCAGGATAAACCAGCTTTCTCCTTTTCCATATGTCTTGATTGCCTCCCAGATAAGGAGTCCTTTGATATGAACAAGCCTTGTTACAATATCATACCCAAAAGAGACATTAATACCTACCCACAGATTAATACTCAAGCCTCATTTTTATCATATTTAGAATGGGACAAGCACAATCTTCTAATCAAGCCTAAACATTGTGTAGAACAAGGGAACCACACAGACAGGGAGATCCCCAGCATGATGACCTGAAAACAATAAGCAGGCAATCGAGTGGGCACATGTGGGCATGGTACTTGTGTACATCCAACAGTCCTCGTGGTACTGGTATAACTAGAATCAGGATATTGCGTACTGATATAACTAGAATCGGGATATTCTATACTGATATAACTAGAATCGGGATATTCTATACTGGTATAGCTAGAATTGGGATATTCTATACTGGTATAGCTAGAATTGGGATATTCTATACTGGTATGACTAGAATTGGGGAATCAGGATATTCTATACTGGTGTAACTAGAATCGGGATATTCCGCACTGGTATAGCTAGAATCGGGATGTTCCATACTGGTATAACTAGAATCGGGCTATTCCGTACCGGTATAACTAGAATCGGGATATTCCGTACTGGTATAGCTAGAATCGGGATATTCCGTACCGGTATAACTAGAATCGGGATATTCCGTACCGGTATAGCTAGAATCGGGATATTCCGTACTGGTAGCTGCTCCTAGGTATATAGGGAAATAATTCTAATCCCATTTGTTTTCTCCCTTTTTATTTGATTGCTGATGCTTTGGTTATTATTATTTATTTGCTCTTAGATCTCTTATGGCCTAATGTATGTGTTTTGTAATGTGTTAATGTTGCCTGTTTATCTGCCTGGCGTTTAATGGTTTTTCTTGCGCCATTCACAAGTTGATCTCGCTGCGTTTGATGAACATATAACCCACAATGGAATCTTGTCTGCATGTGGGTCTGTCATAAGACATTTCTAAGCGTGTATCATTATCCGCTTACCCCCTTCTTATGTGAAACTGTTTCGCTTTACTTCTCTCTCAGGGTCTAGTTAACCCAGAAACGGAACTCCTTAAACTAAAGACCAAATATCTGAAACTACAATGTGAGCTTCAGAAAAAGACAAGACACGGGATGGAAGACTCTGAGGTATCCACTATTTAGCTGTTCTAGACACTTCCCTTATTAGCATGTTCGATGCTAAGATTGTGAACCAGATATTGCATCTTGGAAGCAACTGGTGACCTCTAGATAAACCACATTGGAGATCTAGTGCATTATCTCGCAAAACGTAAACCTTGCCTTCTTCTGGTTTAATCCCATGATACCATGGCTTCCTAGGGACCCAGTGTAATGAGCAAAAATGTATCTTCCCCCACCTTATTTAATCCAAAGTAGTCAACCTTTGGTATACAGCAGAGGGCAAGAGATCTTTTCCTTTGAAGGCATGCAAGGTGCTGTACTTTTGGAAAAGGGTGCAGTTTGACTAGATATGCAGGAACAGACCAGATAATGGATTAAGATGGACAGGACATAGTGTTACTAGACACTGATCTACTCACTCTGAATTCATTGATATGGATTTCATTATATCTATTTAAGTAAAACTGGGTTTAGGTGTGTACTATTATAGTGCCAATAAATGTATATAATGTGTAATTTAGAATCTATGTCCATATTTTTTAACAAAGTATAATCAGTGACTTGTTCTTTGCTGTTATCTTGTGCAGGATAAATCTCTTCATCTCTTGAGAATCCAGCGTTCTATGCAGACCTTACAACTAATGTTAGAAGACCGGAGCTCAGAACCTTGACTTGTTCATAGAACTTGTTGGACGATGTGGTGCAGTCATAACAAATAAATGAACACGTTATATTATTACACAATGCATTTTTATGTCAAGAAAATATATGTAATATATTGTGAATAAATGTACATTTTAGTAATATCTTTGGCACTAGTGTCTTCTCTTGAAAAAAATGTCAGAAGCTGTCTGCTGCTATTACTACTTGTATGTAGTAGTAGGAAATCCTGCTTATATAGCAGTAAATACGTTTATTTTACTAAGGATAATTTAACTAAAAAAGAAAAACTCTCTGAAAGAAATATGTAGCTAGACGAAATCACCATAAAACCAGCGGACAAAGTAGGGGGATCATCCTTAACACTGAAGACTATATAGAAGAAAAACTGAGACTATTGGGAGAGAATTCTACATATCAGATATTGGAAAAGGATCCCACCCCTCAATATCTAGAAAGACTTAAAGAAATGTTGAAGTATGGGAAAGCGAGAGGAATCATTAACGAAGGAGTATACAAATATATGTGCGTACAATTTCCTAAAACACCGTTTTTTTTAACCATTTACCCAAAAAACTGCAGAAACCTCCTGGAAGACCTATCATATACGGTATAGGGCCTTTAACTGCAAACTTATCAGAGTATGTAGATCATTACTTACAAAATCTAGTTGTATTCCTCAAATCCTACCTCAAAGACTCCACTCAAATTTAAACTTATGGGACCACTGCCCATTTGGCGCAAAACTGTTCTTGTGACGTAGATATATTGATGACTGTTTTTTTTTATTTTTATTTTTTTATATGGAAATGATATCTAAAGTCATTGGAAGAATTCAAAGTCTACCTCAATCATAATCCAAAAGTATCCAACAAAGCTCCAGTCTTCATCACTAAGTTTAATAGTCAGTCACATACTATACAAAAGATACTTAGAAAACATTAGGGAATATTAAGGAATGACCCCACCCTCTCCCAATTTCTTGAAGAGAGACCACAGGTTATATTTACAAGGGCAACAAATTTAAAACTAATGTTCGCTCCAACTATCAAATCCACCAATAACACTGAAAATAGTCTATCAAAGGTTTCTCAAGATTAAGTAAATGCATAGGGTTTAGGAAAAATCCCTCTCTAGCATTAGAAAGTACCTTCGCCACTTGTGCCTTGAGAGGACTAATTGGCAGCCTCCTGCCATGTGATTATGGTCTCTGGGAGACTTTGCCAGTTAAAAACACTATTTGGACTTATTGGTGTTTAAAAGAGTGTTCTGGCCTTTTAAATGGAACTGGCTGCTTTGTCCCTCCTCAATCTCTCATCAGCCCTTGCTAAACTTTAACGCCATGGTGATTTTATTCTGTTCAAGGGATCTGAGCGCTGTTTAGACATATTGAGCGCTCAGATCCAAGCTATCTGGGGATAGGTGGTGAATGTGGATGTGGGGTTCTATTCAGTATAATAGGCATTATGTATTTTTACTGTTGTTGAAAATAGAGATATTTTCTGTACCTGGAGATAATTAAGTTACCACACCCACTTAAGCCAATTATCTCCAGGATAGAGGAGATAGACCGGCTGCAATTATCTCCAGGATAGAGGAGATAGACCATTATTCTAAATGTGAACGCATTGCATTGTCAAACTATCAAAACATTTTTCTGAAATCTGCCACCTACAGTTGCAAGAAAAAGTATGTGAACCGTTTGAAATGATATGGATTTCTGCACAAATTGGTCATAAAATGTGATCTGATCAGCATCTAAGTCACAACAATAGACAATCACAGTCTGCTTAAACAAATAACACACAAAGAATGAAATGTTGCCATGTTTTTATTGAACACACCATGTAAACATTCACAGTGCAGGTGGAACAAATGTGAACCCCTAGACTAATGACATCTCCAAGAGCTAATTGGAGTGAGATGTCAGCCAACTGGAGTCCAATCAATGAGATGAGATTGGAGGTGTTGGTTACAGCTGCCCTGCCCTATAAAAAACACACACCAGTTCTGGGTTTGCTTTTCACAAGAAGCATTGCCTGATGTGAATGATGCCTCGCACAAAAGACCTCTCAGAAGACCTACGATTAAGAATTGTTGACTTGCATAAAGCTAGAAAGGGTTATAAAAGTATCTCCAAAGTCTACGGTAAGACAAATTGTCTATAAATGGAGAAAGTTCAGCACTGCTACCATTCTCCCTAGGAGTTTCCGTCCTGTAAAAATGACTGCAAGAGCACAGCGCAGACTGCTCAATGAGGTGAAGAAGAATCCTAGAGTGTCAGCTAAAGACTTACAAAAGTCACTGGCAAACGCTAATATCCCTGTCAGTGAATCTACAATACGTAAAACACTAAACAAGAATGGATTTCATGGGAGGATACCACAGAGGAAGCCACTGCTGTCCAAACAAAACATTGCTGCACGTTTACAGTTTGCACAAGAGCACCTGGATGTTCCACAGCAGTACTGGCAAAATATTCTGTGGACAGATTAAACCAAAGTTGAGTTGTTTGAAAGAAACACACAACACTATGTGTGGCGAAAAAAAGGCACAGCCCACCAACATCAAAACCTCATCCCAAGTGTGAAGTATGGTGGTGGGAGCATCATGGTTTGGGGCTGCTTTACTGCGTCAGGGCCTGGACGGATTGCTATCATCATTAGACATATTGAGCGCTCAGATCCAAGCTATCTGGGGATAGGTGGTGAATGTGGATGTGGGGTTCTATTCAGTATAATAGGCATTATGTATTTTTACTGTTGTTGAAAATAGAGATATTTTCTGTACCTGGAGATAATTAAGTTACCACACCCACTTAAGCCAATTATCTCCAGGATAGAGGAGATAGACCGGCTGCACAACCTAAATCTATGGAACTGTTTTGGGCAGGAAAGCCATGCTTGCAGTCGGTTACATAGGACTTCCACCTAACTTTTGAATCACTGGACAAAATTGTATGATTTTGACATGTTTGTATACTGCTTATGCTGGTTCAGAATGTGACTTTTATGTGAATTGCATGTATGGTTTGGAAGTTATGAATATTGTGTAAAACTGTATTTCTCTGCCTGTGATAATTAAGTTAGCCCATTGTGTTTAGTAATTATATCACCGGCAGAGGGAAGGGTTTGTGTGCCTTGGCTGGGAGTGTCTGACTGTATTATATATATTTATACTGTTTGATTGGCTGTTCCACAAGACCACGTGGGTGGTAACCTTGTGGAAAATCTTGTATAAAAGAAAGTCCTTTGGTGCTCATTAAATAGACCTGCTTGACCCTTTCTTGAAGCCTTGGCTCATGCTTGGGGGATGGGATAACTACACTCTGGGGATTGCTATAATCACACTAAACTCCCCAGGGTAAGTTCTTGTAAGAGCTGTTCTTCTTCCTGCTACGTTCACTGGAGGAAGACCAGTGCCCATTGGAAGACCACTGGAAGCTGGATCCTGGCCTTGGGTCCAGGGTAGGTGAAGAACGGCGAGACCCCGGCGCAGCTGCATCGCTGGAAGTGGGGTCTGCAGTGCTGATGGTGTCGGTTGGAGTGCTTGGAGTCCTCGGCAAGCACTAGGAGCATCGATTGGCGGAGGTACTTGGTCGGAGTGCCAGCGGTCCGTCACAGTACCAAATTCATAGCTCTGTACAACCGCAAAGAATACAAATTAAGAACGAATATGAACTGTAACACATCAGGAGTAATATATCTGATCCCATGCCCCAAGCAATATGTTGGGCGCGAAAAAAGACTTACCAATAGAGAAAGTTAACGTTCATTGGAGAGAAGGGAATCTAGATAAGACTCTTCATCAGACAGAGGCCAAATGTGGATATTTTCTCACAATACCCGAGTTCCAAATGGCCTCAGCGTGGACTTTGAACTGGATGCATTTTTATAACACTAAGTCAGTTGTCCATGTTTAGGTATTTTAGCATATATATATATATATATATATATATATATATATATATATATATAATTTTTTTTTTTTTTTTAAATGTACATGTATGCCTTTCTTCTGCCATTTTTGCTCCTTATATTTAAATTTTATATATCCCATTTTATCAAATTTCATCTTCTATTCTCCATAATTCTATTATTTTTCTATTCTATTTTTTATTTTATTTTTACCTGTACCCTTTTCTGCACTTTGCATTTGTACTGTAACCTAGTATATATTTTTAATTTAATATACGATTATACTTCTCCTTCCTTTCCCTGCCATTCTCTCACCTGGCACCAGTCTTTAACCACAATTTTTATTCTAATTATCTGTGTTGTTAATTTAATGTCCTCATCCTAGTTTTATTCATAGTTTTAGTCAAAACATGTGAATCTAAATATGCTGTAACACATTGTACTTATTTCATTTCCGCTGATCAGGCGATTAAGTACGCTCAATGTCCATTCTAAGTTTGGAAATCTAACATCGCAAATACTAAAATATGCATAACACTTGTTTTAATCACATGCTTTAATCCTACACATTTTTGAATATATATGCTTGTTAATTATGGTCATAATACCAATTTATTTTAGTGTCCGCAATTTTAGAATATCTGTACAGTATGCAGAGTAATGTTTACATGTATTGCATTATTCTAAATGTGAACGCATTGCATTGTCAAACTATAAAAACATTTTTCTGAAATCTGCCACCTACAGTTGCAAGAAAAAGTATGTGAACCGTTTGAAATGATATGGATTTCTGCACAAATTGGTCATAAAATGTGATCTGATCAGCATCTAAGTCACAACAATAGACAATCACAGTCTGCTTAAACTAATAACACACAAAGAATGAAATGTTGCCATGTTTTTATTGAACACACCATGTAAACATTCACAGTGCAGGTGGAAAAAGTATGTGAACCCCTAGACTAATGACATCTCCATGAGCTAATTGGAGTGAGATGTCAGCCAACTGGAGTCCAATCAATGAGATGAGATTGGAGGTGTTGGTTACAGCTGCCCTGCCCTATAAAAAACACACCAGTTCTGGGTTTGCTTTTCACAAGAAGCATTGCCTGATGTGAATGATGCCTCGCATAAAAGAGCTCTCAGAAGACCTACGATTAAGAATTGTTGACTTGCATAAAGCTGGAAAGGGTTATAAAAGTATCTCCAAAGCCTTGCTGTTCATCAGTCCACGGTAAGACAAATTGTCTATAAATGGAGAAAGTTCAGCACTGCTGCTACTCTCCCTAGGAGTGGCTGTCCTGTAAAGATGACTGCAAGAGCACAGTGCAGACTGCTCAATGAGGTGAAGAAGAATCCTAGAGTGTCAGCTAAAGACTTACAAAAGTCACTGGCAAATGCTAACATCCCTGTTAGCGAATCTACAATACTTAAAACACTAAACAAGAATGGATTTCATGGGAGGATACCACAGAGGAAGCCACTGCTGTCCAAACAAAACACTGCTGCACATTTACAGTTTGCACAAGAGCACCTGGATGTTCCACAGCAGTACTGGCAAAATATTCTGTGGACAGATGAAACCAAAGTTGAGTTGTTTGAAAGAAACACACAACACTATGTGTGGCGAAAAAAAGGCACAGCCCACCAACATCAAAACCTCATCCCAACTGTGAAGTATGGTGGTGGGAGCATCATGGTTTGGGGCTGCTTTACTGCGTCAGGGCCTGGACGGATTGCTATCATCGAAGGAAAAATGAATTCCCAAGTTTATCAAGACATTTTGTTGTGACTTAGATGCTGATCAGATCACATTTTATGACCAATTTGTGAAGAAATCCATATCATTCCAAAGGGTTCACATACTTTTTCTTGCACCTGTATACCAAACATCTTTTTTCTTTCTTTTTCTGTAGCTTAATGTGATGTATCCATATTAAGATACGATACAACATTATGATTTTTACAACACAACTGTATCAATGTTTAAAGTCTATTCCTTCCTGTGTGGGAATAAGCTGAGCTCTAGAACTGTAGTGAATCATGGTCACTAATAGTTACTATATGCCATCAAACTTTAAGATCTTTAAGTATATCAGACCTTAAAGGACCACTCTAGGCACCCAGACCACTTCAGCTTAATGAAGTGGTCTGGGTGCCAGGTCTAGCTAGGGTTAACCCATTTTTTCATAAACATAGCAGTTTCAGAGAAACTGCTATGTTTATGAATGGGTTAAGCCTTCCCCTATTTCCTCTAGTGGCTGTCTCATTGACAGCCACTAGAGGCGCTTGCGTGCTTCTCACCGTGATTTTCACAGTGAGAGCACGCCAGCGTCCATAGGAAAGCATTATGAATGCTTTCCTATGTGACCGGCTGAATGCGCCCGCAGCTCTTGCCGCGCGTGCTCATTCAGCCCAGGAGGAGGATCGGAGGAGGAGAGCTCCCCGCCCAGCGCTGGAAAAAGGTAAGTTTAAACCCCTTTCCCCCTTCCAGAGCAGGGTGGGGGCACCCTCAGGGCACTATAGTGCCAGGAAAACGAGTATGTTTTCCTGGCACTATAGTGGTCCTTTAATGTTAGGATTTAAAGACCTGCATTATACCACAGTGTCAGTAACGATTCCTTATAGCTGAATCAAGAAAACACATAAATTTTTTGAAACACTACATTACTGTGTCAAATGCTGTTTGCTGTTTTATGTAAGATGCCTCATCGCACGTTATTTCATTTTTATTTTTCCACTAACATATGTGACTAATTGGTAATTTGGTAGATATGTATATAAGAACTCCCTCATGCCGTACAAGTCATTCAGTCTCTGATGAAGTAGGGCTACATCCCTACGAAACGCATTAGACAGATAATCATTGGATTGGATGCCAGCCAGGATTGAATTGCAAGCATCACCGTCCATTTTGGATTCCGGACCTGTCACAGCTATCATCCCGTGAGGTCCAGAACACACTGTGACAAGCACGCCGTCCTCACCGGCAGTCGGGATACAGAGGACTAACTTACCAACACCATCGTCATCCATCACGGTGTGGGCTCAAGGCTTCCTTGCAATCTTCATTTCCTATACACTGGTTACTATACTGTGGTTTCATTTTTATCCTCGTTTTTATATTTTATGAATAAACTGGATAAACTTTGTTTCCAGTTGTTTTTCTCACTTGTTAGTGGTGTAGCGAAATTTTCATATATTGCTCTGTAGCAACCAGTTCCATGTACTGGTATGCTTTATTTTCATGGCCATTATTTGATATTTTATTCTTATAAAAGTATATCATTTGGTATTGGTACCATTTACACTGTGTTGCGTCCACAATCCGGGTTAGGGATACCTGCACCATATATATTCATTTTATTTCATCTGGATACTGAAGTGTTATTTAACGTTTTTAATAATTTTCTGTTTTTACACTATTTATTATCTATCCTGTTTACTTACTAGCTCCTGGATACTCTACACTATATTATATAGTGTAGTTCACGTTTATCTTTCTGCTTTACAAGTTTCATTGACAATGTGAGTGATAATTGTATTGAGTACCCAAGCAGACATGGAGTTAAAGCATTCACAATGACGTAGGACACTTTTTACCTGAAGAAGACTTTTTTTTTTTGTTGTTCTTAACGTTCGTGCTCTGATTCTTCTTTTTACTTTACCCAGTGAACGTGCCATCCAATTAGCAATGTTTAAATGCCATACCTTTTAGTGTATGAAATCTGTTGTGATTTCTGTGACCCTGAAAATCTCTGCCCGCTCCCCTAGAATGCTCAGTGTCTTCACCAGAACCCACCCTGACCTTGAAAGACGTTCTGAATCTGCATATTTACAGTAAGACTTTGACCTGAGACTGCAGGAATCTGCCCGTTCAAACTGAGGATCAGTTTATTAATCTAAATATCTGCTCAATAATCTAGGATCCTGGGTAATATGTTCTTTAACCCTAAGAATTTCCTCTCTGAAAATGGAGCTAAATCCATAATCTAAATCCATAATCTAAGGCCATTTTTCATTAATGCATAACCATAACCATGATTGTGAATGATGCCTATCCGTATTATGGTTCTACGTGAAATATCTGTTAGTCTTATGTTGGTTGGGTATGGACTTTTCTTTCATTGTGGTTGAAAAGCCGAACATTCAACCTTGTTACTTTGAAAGAGTTGGCAAATGTATGGAAAATATTGGGAGTAAACTGACACAGGCACATGATATTTTCATTCACTGAAGCGATGATGTCCGGGAAGGTGCAGCAATGAATTAAAGGATTTTGACGTCCTACCTTATAAGCGAAGTCTTTAAATGTGCCATCAATCTGTTGTATATTTTAAACTGTTAAAGGAAATGCTAACACTCTACCGAACAACACCATCGATTTTAATTTTTATTGTTTATCTCGCAACAAAAGGTTTGAACATCAGGCTTTACATTTTTTTTGCAAAAGTACAAATACAAAAACAAACTATATAACACATGATGCTCTCTTAAGAGCTAATTAAGGGGGGGTCAAATGAAAGGTCAGGGGTCAGCAGTGTTTGCAATCCTGCAGCCAAGGACAAAGTGCAAACTGGTGCAGAGAGCGCGGTGCACGGCTAATTAAATGGACTTCATTCTCTCCAGCCAGGAAATGGCCGAAACAGGGAGATTTGGTACAAAAATAAATATATACAATTTATTCTGTGTGTACTTGTTTGTGTACAAAAGTTGGTTGAATATAGGCGCAGTTATACATGCCAAAAGAAAAAATAATTAACATGGCCAATGTCGACCTAACCAGCAAAAAAACTTGGTTTTCAGAGACGTTAAACCCCAGACTGAGGAAAATACTGTAACACATGGATGGAGATTCCCGAGTCATTCTAGCGCCCAGAATTAGGAAATTTCATCCCTGAGTGTGAAGATCCTGTAAATACAAGATGATGTGTTATACAATGTGTCAAAGTGCACACCAATGGGCAGGTCTCAGTGGCTCCAGCATTCTACGTTCCAGTATTAATACATCAATAAATCTTAACACTATCTATCCAAGGAGTCCACCAGTAACGATCTGTCTCTGCCTGCTACATGAGGAGGACTTACCGTGTATCTCTCCCCCAGTGCTCAATTGACTGCAGGATGGTATAAGACATGGGATTTAGAGTTCCGTTTTTCGTACATTTTTTAATTTTTTTTAACCATGGTAAAACATATAAATATAGAATGTGACGGCAGATAAGAACCATTCGGCCCATCTAGTCTGCCCAATTTTCTAAATACTTCCATTAGTCCCTGGCCTTATCTTATAGTTAGGATAGCCTTATGCCTGTCCCACACATGCTTTACCCCTTAAGGACCAAACTTCTGGAATAAAATGGAATCATGACATGTCACACATGTCACATGTCATGTGTCCTTAAGGGGTTAAACTCCTTTACTGTGTTAACCTCTACCACTTCAGCTGGAAGGCTATTCCATGCATCCACTACCCTCTCAGTACAGTAAAACTTCCTGATATTATTTTTAAACCTTTGTCCCTCTAATTTAAGACTATGTCCTCTTGTTGTGGTAGTTTTTCTTCTTTTGAATATAATCTCTTCCTTTACTGTGTTGATTCCCTATATATGTCAAAGGATCACTATAGACACTATGTCATCCTTGGGGGACCCTCACCCTCAGGGTCCCCCTCCCGTGGCTAAAGGGGTTAAAACCCCTTCAGCAGCTTACCTTAATACAGCGCCGGACTCCATCGGCGCTGGTGACCTCTCCTCCCCGCCGACATCAGCTCCTGAGTGGAGCGGAATGTGCATGCGCGCACATTTTAACAGTCCATAAGAAAGCATTTCTCAATGCTTTATGATGGAGGTTCTGCACGCTGGATAAAAATTTTGCATTCAACATCACAGGAGCGCCTCTAGCGGCTGTCAGGAAGACAGCCACTAGAGGTTGGATTAACCCTAATGTAAACATAGCGGTTTCTCTGAAACTGCTATGTTTACATGTGAAGAGTAAAACCTCAGGGAGCTGGCACCCAGACCACTTCATTGAGCCGAAGTGGTCTGGGTGACTATAGTGTCCCTTTAAGATCCTTTAACCTTTCCTTATACGTTTTAGCCTGCAATCCATGAACCAGTTTAGTAGCCCTAAGGTGTTACTTTGTTGGAGCTTGTGTTTGTTAAGCTAGTAAATATAGTGATTATAATAGAGAAATATATACATAGCACTGCGACACATTCATTGAACATGATTCAAAGTGAGCAGAAAACTAAATTGCAAAACGTGAGCTATAAAAACCAAGCTGTGAGCCTTTTCAGATCAGCTTTTTTTCTGCCAATTATGCAATGTGGTTTTCATTGCACTACAATGTAAAGTTTAGTGAATAAAGGTCTGTCTGGTCAGACCAGGTAAGTAAACATTGAAATATTAAATTGGTTGTGACATTTTATGATCCATACAGTATATTTTGTTCTGTGCTGATGAAATCATGCATGGGTGTTGGATCCCATATTATCTGGTTACTACATTAATCCTAATCTCCATGAATACTAAAGTTGACGTATTCAGTTGATACTCACCAGAAGACCCTCCAGTTCCACCAGAAGACCAGGATCCTCCCGAAGACCCTCCAGTTCCACCAGAAGACCAGGATCCTCCCGAAGACCCGCCAGTTCCACCAGAAGACCAAGATCCTCCCGAAGAACCTCCTACTGCACTTCCACCTCCACCGGTAGCAACTGAACCACCTCTCACAGGTTGGTTGATGGCTGCTCCAAAGATGACCGAATTTACAGAAGAACCACCACCTGATACAACATTTGAACTTCCTCTGGAATTTAAGCCTAGACTTTGAGATTGGGAAATCTGGGAAATTCCACCTCCAGTGCCACCTCCACCTGGTCTGATTGGGTTAGAATTGGTTGCTCCAAAAATCACTGAGTAAAAACAATGTAAAATGAGAGATGTGGAACGACGCAGTTCTACAGACATTAAACCATGTAATGCAATATTTATAAAGGACCTCATGATGTTAAAAATATGTGCATATTTTAAAGCGTAACATTAGCATTGTTAAACATTTATTTGCGTCCGAATTGAATTCCTTTTAATCTACACTCGAGCAAATCGATCTACCTGGGATCGCCTGTGGAGTTTTCTACAGACCAGGATAGACTGATTCATTCAGGTTTGGTTTACAAGGAATTTGATTCACATGAACTGCATCAAATACATGTTTGCACAAATCTAGTAAACATTGACTTGACAAACATCATAATATCGAAGAGGGCTTAAAAAGTCTGTATGTTCAAATAAAATGTGGAATTTTGAACATAGCCCTGAAGCCCATTATAGTTTTATCTGGAAACAAATCACCTGCATTCAAGCAGGGACATCAGAAAAAAAAAACAGCATTAACAGTCAGGGTCAAGTATTACCAAATAAACATATGATGTGATCAACTCTAGACTACGCTGCTTGTTCAGGGTAAGAATTGGCCCATTAACTGCAATAATCTGCCTGTCCAAAGAATAATTCATTATATTTATCCCAATAATTATACTGTTTATCCTGAGAATCAACTTGTTTATTCTAAGACTCTGTCTGTTTGCTATTTCACAAGGAGAAACCTTAACAAACCGGCCAATTCACCGTCACAATATGTTCAGTTGCCATGAGAACAGGTAGGTTCACACTGAGAATCTGCCTATTCACCCTGAAATCCTGAGAATCTGCCAATTCACCCTGAAATCCTGAGAATCTGCCAATTCACCCTTGAATCCTGAGAATCTGACTATTCACCCTGAAATCCTGAGAATCTGCCTGCTCATCCTGGAATCCTGAGAATCTGCCAATTCACCCTTGAATCCTGAGAATCTGACTATTCACCCTGGAATCCTGAGAATCTGCCATTTCACACTAAAATCCTGAGAATCTGCCATTTCACTCTGAAATCCTGAGAATCTGACTATTCATCCTGGAATCCTGAGGATCTGCCAATTCACCCTGGAATCCTGAGAATCTGCCAATTCACCCTGGAATCCTGAGAATCTGCCTATTCATCCTGGAATCCTGAGAATCTGCCTATTCATCCTGGAATCCTAAGAATCTACCAATTCACCCTGAAATCCTGAGAATCTGCCTATTCATCCTGGAATCCTGTGAATCTGCCTGTTTACCCTGGGATCCTGTGAATCTGCCATTTCTCCTTGAAATCCTGAGAATCTGCCTATTCATCCTGGAATCCTGTGAATCTGCCAATTCACCCTGAAATCCTGAGAATCTGACTATTCATCCTGGAATCCTGAGAATCCGCCTATTCATCCTGGAATCCTGTGAATCTGCCTGTTTACCCTGGAATTCTGTGAATCCGACGATTCACCCTGAAATCCTGAGAATCTGACTATTCACCCTGGAATCCTGAGAATCTGCCATTTCACCCTGGAATCCTGAGAATCTGCCAATTCACCCTGAAATCCTGAGAATCTGTCAAATCACCCTGAACTCCTGAGAATCTGCCAATCTGCCTATTCATCCTGGAATCCTGTGAATCTGCCATTTCACCCTGGAATCCTGAGAATCTGCCTGTTTACCCTGAAATCCTGAGAATCTAACGATTCACCCTGGAATCCTGAGAATCTGCCTATTCATCATGGAATCCTGAGAATCTGCCGATTCACCCTGAAATCCTGAGAATCTGACTATTCATCCTGGAATCCTGTGAATCTGCCTGTTTACCCGGGAATCCTGTGAATTTGCCGATTCACCTTGCCAATCTTCCCATTTACTTTATACATGTGAATATGGACGTTTCCTTATATGTAAGTCATGTCCAGATGAATCCAGATGTGAGTGTTTAGCGATTACCCATAATACCTTGCTTACCTGACATGGCATCTTTACTGCATCCTTTGGAGACTGGCACGTCCGCTGGATTAATCCCTCCTATAATAATTAGGGTTACATTAATACATACATGGAGATGGTGTGTGAATCTGTGAGAACATGTATGCTAACCCAGGCTGTGCAATCTAAACCTGGAGCTGTTACATTATTCTGAATCATGGTGAATGCAGTCCAACGTTAAACCATAGATTATGCAAAGGGTACAAAACGTAGATTCCCCAATAGATATTACTGTGAAAGTCACAACCGCTTGTCTTAAAGGACCAATATAGTGCCAGGAAAACATACTCGTTTTCCTGGCACTATAATGCCCTGAGGGTCCCCCCACCCTCAGGGTCCCCCTCCTGCCAGGCTCTAGGAGGTTGAAGGGGTTAAACTTACCTCTTTCTCCAGCGCCGGGCGGGGAGCTCTCCTCCTCCTCTCCTCCCTCTTCTTCCGTCACCGGCTGAATGTGCATGCTTTCCTATGGACGCTGGTGTCTTCTCACTGTGATTTTCACAGTGAGAAGCGCGGAAGCCCTCTAGCGGCTGTCAATGAGACGGCCACTAGAGGCTGGATTAACCCACAGGTCTCTGAAACTGCTATGTTTACAGAAAAAAGGGTTAATCCTAGCTGGACCTGGCACCTAGACCACTTCATTAAGCTGAAGTGATCTGGGTGCCTATAGTGGCCCTTTAACTTGAGAAACATTTACTTAAAGGGACACTATACTCAACAGAACAACTACAGCTCAATGTAGTTGTTCTGGTTAGTACAATCACTGCCTTCAGGCATTCTCATATAAACATCTTTTCAGAGAAAAGGCAGTGTTTACATTGCCCCCAGGGACACCTCCAAGTGGCCACTCCTCAGATGGACCACTGTAGGTGCTTCCTGGCTCAGTGCTGCACAGTAGGCAGCACTGCCATTCAGCGTCTCTACACTCTGCATGGGAACGCTGAATTTTCCTCATAGAGATGTATTGATTCAATGCATATCTATAAGGAGGTGCTGATTGGCCTGCCCACTTGTCGATTTTAGCCAATCCAGTGCTTTCCCCATAGTTGAATAGCAGATCAGTTACTAAAGCAAATTACCGAGCTGAATGATTACTAGCTAGACTCTGGGTTCGTCCAAATTGATTCATCTGAAAAAACTTTCGGGCAAGTTGGGATTTGTCCATGGGGTGTCTGGGTTTGGATGAATCTCTATGCGAATGTTTCTGGAAAATGGTGCAAAGTTGTGCCAGTCAGTGTGTATATATTTTGCAGTAAACTGATTTTCATGCCATTTTCTTTATAAATATAGAAGTGTGAAGAAGTAGCCAACAGAGGGAAAAACAGGAGGTAACAAATATATCTATTTATATAATAAATGTATTAATATGTTTTACATTACGGCATCACAGTAGACCTAGTTCACCAATACCTGCAATGCCAAGCTTTCTTATCAATTCACTAAACAATTTGATGACCTGACATCTCCGTTCCAAAATATTGTGATTCTAGGGACACTATAGTCACCAGAATGACTACAGCTGAATGTAGTTGTTATGATGTCTATAGCGTGTGCCTGCAGGCATTGTCATGTAAACACTGTCTTTTCTGAGACAGCTCTGGTGACAGTCACTCAGACGGCCATTAGAGGTGCTTCCTGCGCAGTGTGCCGCATTGACGGTCAGCGTCTCCACACTCTGTATGGAGGTACTGAACATTTCCCATAGAGATCCATTGATTGAAAATTCTCTATGAGGAGATGCTGATTGGCGCAATGCAGTGTTTTGCCGAGTATGAGCTGTAGAGCTGTAGAAAGTGATGGAAACCATGTTAAAGGATAGGATTGTTGAACATCTAAAAACACATGGATTTCAAGATCAGAGACAACATGGGTTTACTTCAGGGAGATCATGCCAAACTAATCTTATTGATTTTTTTGATTGGGTAACTAAAATTATAGATCAGGGTGGTGCAGTAGACATTGCTTACCTAGATTTCAGTAAGGCTTTTGACACTGTTGCACATAGAAGGCTCATCAATAAACTGCAATCTTAAAGTTTGGATTCCAATATTGTTGAATGGTTAAGGCAGTGGCTGAGTGACAGGCAACAGAGGGTTGTAGTTAATGGAATATATTCGAAGCTTGGACTTGTCACCAGTGGGGTACCTCAGGGATCTGTACTTGGACCCATTCTCTTTAATATTTTTATTAGTGATATTGCAGAAGGTCTTGATGGTAAGGTATGTCTTTTTGCTGATGATACTAAGATATGTAACAGGGTTGATGTTCCAGGAGGGATAAGCCAAATGACAAATGATTTAGGTAAACTAGAAAAATGGTCAGAATTGTGGCAACTGACATTTAATGTGGATAAGTGCAAGATAATGCATCTTGGACGTAAAAACCCAAGGGCAGAGTACAGAATATTTGATAGAGTTCTAACCTCAACATATGAGGAAAGGGATTTAGGGGTGATTATTTCTGATGACTTAAAGGTAGGCAGACAATGTAATAGAGCAGCAGGAAATGCTAGCAGAATGCTTGGTTGTATAGGAAGAGGTATTAGCAGTAGAAAGAGGGAAGTGCTCATGCCATTATACAGAACACTGGTGAGACCTCACTTGGAGTATTGTACACAGTACTGGAGACCGTATCTTCAGAAGGATATTGATACCTTAGAGAGGGTTCAGAGAAGGGCTACTAAACTGGTTCATGGATTGCGGGATAAAACTTACCAGGAAAGGTTAAAGGATCTTAACATGTATAGCTTGGAGGAAAGACGAGACAGGGGGGATATGATAGAAACATTTAAATATATAAAGGAATCAACACAGTAAAGGAGGAGACTATATTTAAAAGAAGAAAAACTACCACAACAAGAGGACATAGTCTTAAATTAGAGGGACAAAGGTTTAAAAATAATATTAGGAAGTATTACTTTACTGAGAGGGTAGTGGATGCATGGAATAGCCTTCCAGCTGAAGTGGTAGAGGTTAACACAGTAAAGGAGTTTAAGCATGCATGGGATAGGCATAAGGCTATCCTAACTATAAGATAAGACTAGGGACTAATGAAAGTTATTAGAAAATTGGGCAGACTAGATGGGCCGAATGGTTCTTATCTGCCGTCACATTCTATGTTTCTATGTTTCTAGAGCTCCCAATGCTTTCCTATAGGAAAACATTGCATTGGCTGAGATCATCAAGTGTGATGATCTCATCCATGGAGGCGGGGCCAGCTGTGGCAGAGAAAAGGTAAGTAAAATCATCTTTTAATTGCGATATAAGGGGGGGGGAAGCGGACCTGAATAGTTTTTGTTTGACACTATAGTGTTCCTTTATTTATGTACTTATTACATTTTGCACCTTCGATAAATTTGCACTACCATTTACTGTGAATTTTATGCAAAGAGCAAAGTGCATTTTATGTTTCCCTGAATGGTAGGAGAACAATTTTAAAAAACATTTCTAGCATTATTATTTTTTGCTTTTATTAAATAAAATAATTTACAATGTAGATAAAATTCAAAATACCTGGTAATATAAGTGAAGGACCACCACCTCCTCCTCCAATATTCCATGCTCCTGGGCCGCTTACCCATCCTCCAGTTCCACCTCCATGTCCACCAGAAAATGCTCCACCTCCTCCAGCCCCACCTCCTCCACCGCCCCATGCTCCTGCTCCACCAGAACTCCCCCAGGCTCCTCCACCACCTGTTCCTCCAGAAAATGAGCCGGTACCTCCTCCTTCACGAATCCGAATGTCATTTCCAGCCCCAAATATGACAGAGCTTGCTCCTCCACCACCACCAAATCCTCCTTGTCCTCCTCCTGCTCCACCAGCCCAGGATCCTCCACCACCTGTTCCTCCAGAAAATGAACCTCCTCCTGCCCCCTGTATTACAGAGCTCTGCTGAAAAGAGCTTCCTCCTCCACCACTAACAAATCCTCCTTGTCCTCCTCCACCAGCAAATCCTCCTTGACCTCCACCTGTTCCGCCAGACCATTGTCCACCTCCACCTGTTCCTCCAGAAAATGAACCTCCGCCTGTTCCTCCAGAAAATGAACCTCCACCTCCTTGTATTATGATATTGCTTCCTGTGCCATGTATTGTCCCAGAGCTTTGTTGGATAGAACTTCCTCCTCCTACACCTCCCATCCCTCCTTGTCCTCCACTAGACCACACTCCTCCTCCACCTGTTCCTCCAGAGAATGAACCTCCACCCCCTCCTACACGTATAGGGACATTGCTTCCTGCCCCTTGTATAACAGAGCTTTGGTGAGATCCACCTCCAACTGATCCACCTCCAACTGATCCAGAAGAAGAACCCATCCAGTTAGAAGAACTACCTCCAACACCACCACCACCTCCTCCTCCAATAGCTCCAACAATAACTGATCCAGAACTGCCTTGGATAACTGTGTTAGAAGAACTGCCCGAGATGACAGAGGAATGAGAGCTACTCCCCCCACCAGCTGATCCGAGGGCCATTCCAGAAGAAGATAAACTGCTCATGGAGCCTTGGGACCCATCCATGAACTGTAAGATAGTTTCTCCAGAAGGACCTATAATGAACAGGGCAAACAATGGAAATGACAATGAGTCTATTCCTCTCCATACTAGGTGACACAATGTCATAGAATAGTGAGTAATGATGAGCAACATACTCAGAAATGGACACTTACTTGTAGAAACACCAGAAATCTGGAAGTAGCCTGGGGATCCATCGCATATGGGAAAAGTCCCCAAAACATCTGAAAAAAAGAGCAAACAAATAAACAACTACCTTATGATATGGCATCTTTTCACCCTGGATACAGTTATATATTGTACATTACAAAAACCCTAGTTGAAATTGCTCTGGCAAATTTCCTTTCCCGTACATTGTCAACTCAAAAAGGTCAGAAGATGGAACATAAATGAGTATTTTTCTTCCTAATTTAGTAAAGTGCCGGGCCCTTCAAAGGGGCATTTTACAAGGGTGAGTGTGTAAAATTTACAGAACAGGAAATTCATTAGCTGAGCATGCTGAGCTGTCAGGGTCAGACATTACCACTAGGTCCCTTGGTACCTCTTCGATCAATAATTCTATAAATTATCATTCTATAAATTCATCAATAAATCATTCTTATTTAAGTTGTCACACTCACCTGAGGGTCCTATTAATTTTGCTTTGGGGTCTCTGCAAACCTTAAACTGTTCATCTGTAAGTAGAAAAATGATATTAATTAATAGAATTTGTGCGCATGGTGTTATGTGTTAGCGCTGTAAATAAACTTAAAGCAATCAATAGAGTGTTACAGAATGGTAACACAATAACGTGGTCATTTATATGACTTAGAACTAGGTATGTGCACGGGCAAAACATTTGGTTCGGAAAATTGGGCAAGTAAAAAAATGTGTCTGCTTCGGCAATTCGGACCGATAGCACTTCGGATCTGCTAAATGACATTCGGTTCGGACATTCAGCATTTGGGCATTCATTTCAGGCATTCAGCAGTTCTGCATGTCATTTGTTTCAGGCATTCAGCACTTCTGAACTGATAAATGGCATTTTGTTTTGGACATTCGGCATTCGTGCACTTGGCATTCGGGAAAGCGGCATTCGGGCATTCATTTCTGGCATTCTGCAGTTCTGCATGTCAGTTCGGAATGTCGTTCATTTTTTAAAATAAACATTTGTGTGTTTTTTTCTTAAAGAGCAATGTTTTACATTGCATAGTGGACCACAGCAGCACCCAGACCACTTAATCTTAAAGAAGTGGTCTGGGTTTAGTTGATAATGTTAGTTTAGTATATATACAATTTACAAAATGGATGATATTTTCACTGCACAGATAGTGCAGTCAATCAGGGAGCACTGCCAGCATGCAACACTTCTGCACACTATATAATCCCACCCATGTGACACCATCTTTGTGGAGAGTTTAGGAGAGAGTGAGCAGAGGGTGAGAGCAGAGGGTGAGGAGAGAGTGAGAGCAGAGTGTTAGCAGAGTGTGAGAACAGAGTGTTAGCAGAATGTGAGAGCAGAGTGTTAGCAGAGTGTGAGAACAGAGAGAGAGCAGAGAGTGAGGAGAGAGTGAGAGCAGAGGGTGAAGAGAGTGTTAGCAGAGGGTGAGAACAGAGAGAGAGCAGAGAGTGAGGAGAGAGTGAGAGCAGAGGGTGAAGAGAGTGTTAGCAGAGGGTGAGAACAGAGAGTGAGCAGTGTGAGGAGAGGTTGAGAGCAGAGGGTGAGCATAGTGTTAGAGTGTGAGAACAGAGAGTGAGAGCAGAGAGTGAGGAGAGAGTGAGAACAGAGAGAGCAGAGTGTGAGAGCAGAGTGTTAGAGTGTGAGAGCAGAGTGAGAGCAGAGTGAGAGCAGAGAGTGAGAGCAGAGAGTGAGCAGAGTGTGAGAGCAGAGGGTGAGGAGAGAGTGAGAACAGAGAGTGAGCAGAGTGTGAATGAGCGAGTGAGAGAGTGTGTGAGAGAGGGAAGAATGTGAGGAGGATCCATTATGATTTCTTTTGTTTTATTACATTTTTATTTAAATCAAATGACATAAAACTAAAAAAATAAAACTTAATCAGTGCAGCAAAGTCACAGTGCAGCAGAGAGGCACAATGGCAATCAGACTACCTGGCTTACACAGCCACACACTTACTAACCCACTGCCCCCCTCTTAAAACAAAGAAACAAAATGCAGAAGAAGGAAAAGGCAAAGCTCTCTCTCTCTCTCTCTCTCTCTCTCTCTCTTTTTATATATATATATCACTCTCTCTCTCTCTTTTTTTATATATATATCACTCTCTCTCTCTCTTTTTATATATATATATATCACTCTCTCTCTCTATTTCTCTCTCTGACTCCCCCTCTCTCGAACACACATTTAAAATCTATGTGGCTCCCCGAGTAAAATCCAATAAATGTAATGTAATTTATCTCTCTCAGTCTCTTGTGATATCACAACCAGTCTGGTCACATGAATGCAAGCCTGATTTATGTACTATCCCACCTCAATGACTCTGTGTGTCAGTGACAAAATCACCAATATTGGAAAGCGCTTCAGAATCTGTTGGCGCCATATAAATGGCAATAATTATAATAATAATAATAATTGGCTGTCCTCTAACATAAATCACAAAAATAGCTCATTTCATTGGACAGTGAATAGTGAAACCGGATTGGGCAAGCAAGCATTACATTGCACAAAAGGAATTAGCTTACTGGCTAAGATTCCTGTCATCATTCACATCATTTTCCCTCCCTCTCACTTGTTTTGCCACTTTTCAGAAATCCAAATCACTTCGGCACTTTGGAACCCTAGCACTTCGGACATTCGTAAGCATCCGAATGTCTGAATGGCATGAAATTCGTACAAATGTACATTCGGAACAAAACGAAGTGCACATGCCTAATTAGAACACTGGATAATCTACAAAAACACACAGAAACACGCAATCAGAATGTTAATTACTGTATTCTAGTTGTGACTAGACAAATGCGGTTCAGGTGGCACAAACAAATCAGATTCCTTGTAATCTATGCCCAAATTAACTGTCCGACTCCAGTGGGAAATCCTGTACAAATCGGTTTGTTCACTCATAGAGTAAAAATAATCTGATTTGTTCTCAGCTCCTGAAATGCATTTGTGCACAAGTTTAATTGTGACACATTATTCTCATTACAAATAGCTGTATTCCTGTGAGATGTTTAAACATTCTAAGTATTATTAACTATCTGATACTGAGTATTATTAACTGTCAGAGAGCAATACTGCCCCCTACTGAGTATTATTAACTATCAGACAGCAATACTGCCCCCTACTGAGTATTATTAACTATCAGACAGCAATAATGCCCCCTACTGAGTATTATTAACTGTCAGAGAGCAATACTGCCCCCTACTGAGTATTATTAACTATCAGACAGCAATACTGCCCCCTATTGAGTACAGCAATAATGCCCCCCTGCTGAGTATTATTAACGGTCAGAGGGCAATACTGCTCCCTACTGAGTATTATTAACTATCAGACGGCAATACTGCCCCCCTGCTGAGTATTATTAACTATCAGACAGCAATACTGCCCCCTACTGAGTATTATTAACTATCAGACATCAATAATGCCCCCTACTGAGTATTATTAACTATCAGACAGAAATACTGCTCCCTACTGAGTATTATTAACTATCAGACAGCAATAATGCCCCCCTGCTGAGTATTATTAACGGACAGAGGGCAATACTGCTCCCTACTGAGTATTATTAACTATCAGACGGCAATACTGCCCCCTGCTGAGTATTATTAACTATCAGACAGCAATACTGCCCCCTACTGAGTATTATTAACTATCAGACAGCAATACTGCCCCCTACTGAGTATTATTAACTATCAGACAGCAATAATGCCCCCTACTGAGTATTATTAACTATCAGCCAGCAGTACTGCCCCCGCTGAGTATTATTAACTATCAGCCAGCAATAATGCCCCCTACTGAGTATTATTAACTATCAGACAGCAATACTGCCCACTACTGAGTATTATTAACTGTCAGACAGCAATACTGCCAGCTAGTGAGTATTATTAACAATTAGACAGCAATAATGCCCCCTGCTGAGTATTATTAACGGTCAGAGGGCAATACTGCTCCCTACTGAGTATTATTAACTATCAGACAGCAATACTGCCCCCTACTGAGTATTATTAACTATCAGACAGCAATACTGCCCCCTACTGAGTATTATTAACTATCAGACAGCAATAATGCCCCCTGCTGAGTATTATTAACGGTCAGAGGGCAATACTGCTCCCTACTGAGTATTATTAACTATCAGACAGCAATAATGCCCCCTGCTGAGTATTATTAACTGTCAGAGAGCAATAATGCCACATACTGAGTATCATTAACTATCAGACAGCAATAATGCCCCCTGCTGAGTATTATTAACGGTCAGAGGGCAATACTGCTCCCTACTGAGTATTATTAACTATCATACAGTAATACTGCCTGATACGGAGTATTTTAACTATCTGATACTGAGTATTATTAACTGTGAGAGAGCAATACTGCCTGATACTGAGTATTTTAACTATCTGATACTGAGTATTATTAACTGTGAGAGAGCAATACTGCCCCTACTGAGTATTATTAACTATCAGACAGCAATACTGCCTTATACTGAGTATAACTGTCATTAAACACTGAGTGTGTTACTCCATTCCAATGAGTGATACTCAGCCCCCGTGTAATAGTATTTAATACTGAGTGTGTTACCCCATTCCAGTGAGTGATACTCAGCCCCTGTGTAATAGTATTTAATACTGAGTGTGTTACCCCATTCCAATGCGTGATACTCAGCCCCCGTGTGATCGTATTTAATACTGAGTGTGTTACTCCATTCCAATGAGTGATACTCAGCCTCCGTGTGATAGTATTTAATACTGAGTGTGTTACTCCATTCCAATGAGTGATACTCAGCCTCCGTGTGATAGTATTTAATACTGAGTGTGTTACTCCATTCCAATGAGTGATACTCAGCCTCCGTGTGATAGTATTTAATACTGAGTGTGTTACTCCATTCCAATGAGTGATACTCAGTCCTGTGTGATAGTATTTAATACTGAGTGTGTTACCCCATTCCAATGAGTGATACTCAGCCCCTGTGTGATAGTATTTAATACTGAGTGTGTTACTCCATTCCAATGAGTGATACTCAGCCTCCGTGTGATAGTATTTAATACTGAGTGTGTTACTCCATTCCAATGAGTGATACTCAGTCCTGTGTGATAGTATTTAATACTGAGTGTGTTACCCCATTCCAATGAGTGATACTCAGCCCCTGTGTGATAGTATTTAATACTGAGTGTGTTACCCCATTCCAATGAGTAATACTCAGCCTCCGTGTAATAGTACGTAATACTGAGTGTGTTACCCCATTCCAATGAGTGATACTCAGCCCCCGTGTGATAGTACGTAATACTGAGTGTGTTACCCCATTCCAATGAGTGATACTCAGCCCCCGTGTGATAGTAAGTAATACTGAGTGTGTTACCCCATTCCAATGAGTGATACTCAGCCCCCGTGTGATAGTATTTAATACTGAGTGTGTTATCCCATTCCAATGAGTAATACTCAGCCTCCGTGTAATAGTATTTAATATTGAGTGTGTTACCCCATTCCAATGAGTGATACTCAGCCCCCGTGTGATAGTACGTAATACTGAGTGTGTTACCCCATTCATTGAATAATTGAGTCTGCATCACTTTACTCCTCTTCAAGTCACTAATGCCATATTCTGAGCATTAATACTTTCATAAACTTGTATTAACGCTGTCTGTCCGTCCATATCTCTATCTATCTATCTATCCATCCATCCATCTCTCTCTGTTTGTCTGTCTATCCATCCATCTATCTATCCATCCATCCATCTATCCAATATCTATCTATCTATTTGTCTATCTATCTATCCATCCATCCATCCATCCATCCATCCGTGTCTCTGTCTTACTCCATTAAGTGTCCCTCATCCTTACTCAGTTATACTTTCTTCCTTCCTCCCGAGTGAATAATCCTGTGTATTTCAGTCGGCACAATAAGAGATAATCTCACTTTCTCTCCCATTCACCAGCAGTTATTAAAGTTCACTTACTGCATAGACTGAGGCCAACAGCTAGGGTCAGCAGGATCCCAGGATGACTGATCCCACTCATCCTCCCTGGAGTGTCCTTGCTCACTCTCAGGCATATAGGGTCCAAAGTGCAGACATGGGAAGGTTTATATAAGGCCCATTTAGTGGGAGGAACCTCCCTGTCTGCAGCTTTGGCTTGTAACTCAGAGTGAGCCTGACAAAGCATGTCTCATTGGGGTGTGAGAGGCTCATCCAGAGCTGACACCCATGGGTGTGATTGTTTATAGGTATGATTTTACATGAATCCCAAAACATGTGACCTACCTGCTGGGTGGGGGACCTGGTGATTCAGAGAGCAGCGTTAATAAGCCCTGGGAGCAGAACTGGAGTTTGTTAAAGATGTCACTTTGCTTCCACTCTCTGCTCGTCTCTTTCTGTGAGAATGACTTTAATATAACAAGGACATGGCCGAGTCAGGTAAAAGCAGCGATTTTGGATTCAACAAGTCTTGAACACAAAAGCCAACTGAGTTTCAATAATTATTTGTACCTGTGCCAATTTCTGTATCAATAAAGTCATTTTTCTATCATTGCGTTTCTCGATGTATTTATTTTTTTTGCCCAGATTTTCGTGATCGTGCTTGGCAATGTCACGGCTAACATACTAAAAAAATAATATCATATATAAAAATAAATATAATTATATAAAAAATATCAAAATATTATGACAATATATATATTTTAAATATATAAACATTTTAAAAGTGTATCCAAAAATATTAAATCAAAGCTATATATGAACCATTTTTTATCAGAATACATTCTGAAATGTAGCGGATTAATCCATCACGATGTACAGTTAGGTCCAATATTTCATAGTTTAGCTCTGTACGCCACCACAATGGATTTGAAATGAAATAACCAAGATGCGGCTAATTACAGACTTTCAGCTTTAATTCAAAGGGTTGAAAACACATATTGTATGAAATGGAAATGTTTAGAAATTGCAACCATTTTCACACACACACTCCCATTATTTCAGGGGCTCAAAGGTAATTGAACAAATGAACACAGCCATAAATAAAGTGTTCATTTGGAATACTTTGTGGAGAATCCTTTGCAGACCATGACTGCTTGAAGTTCGGAACACGAGGACATCACCAGACGCTGGATTTCCTTCTTTATGGTTCTTTGCCAGGCCTTTGTTTGTTTGTGGGTCTTTCTGCCTTACGTTTTGTCTTCAGGGTTGAGATCTGGTGATTGACTCGGCCATTGCAGAATAGTCCACTTCTTTGCCTTAAAAACGCCTGGGTTACTTTCACAGAATAATTTGGGTCATTGGCCATCCATAAAGTAAAGTCCTATCAACTTTGCTGAATTTGGCTGAATCAGAGCAGACAAAATATTCCTATACATTTCAGAATTCATCCGGCTGCTTCTGTCACATCATCAATAAACACTAGTGGCCCAGTGCCATTGGAAGCCATGCATACCCTTGCCATCACACTGCCTCCACTTCATTTTTCAGCTGATGTGGTATACTTCAGATCATGAGCCATTCCAGGCCTTCCATATACTTTTTTTCACATCATTTTGGTCCAGGTTGATCTTAGTTTCACCTGTCCAAAGATGTTCCAGAACTCTGCTTTTTTAGATGTTTTTTGGCAAAGTCTAATCTGGCTGTTTTATTCTTGGGGCTTATGAGTAGAGTTGAGCGAGTACTGAACATTACGGTTTTTGGACCCCGAACATGCACATTTCAGTGTATGTTCGGATTTGAGTTCGGTGTTCGGCAATTTAATGTCGCGTTTTGAAAGGCTGCAGGGCAGCCAATCAACAAGCGTTTGACTCGTTTGCCTTTAGAAACCATCACAGCCATGCCTACTAATGGCATGGCTGTGATTGGCCAGTGCAACATGTGATCCAGCCTCTATATATAAGCTGGAGTCACGTAGCGCCGCACGTCACATGAGGTCTTATTAATGTAGGGAGAGGATGCTGCCGCTGTGAGGGACAGATTAGGAAAAAATTCTGGTGTTGAACCTGCAAACTATAGTGATTATTCAAACTACAGCGATTATTTTAGTGGGTGCTATACTACATTTTTGTACCCTGCCCTGAGCCCAGTGCCACAGAGTGTGCAGTGCACTTGCAACTGCATGTGTGCCAGGCACATGACTTTAATCCTGTTCTGGTAGCTCAGTGGGCAACATCTAGGCATTTTTAAATACTGTAATTTTTTGGGTGTCAAATAGTACATTTGCGTCCTGCATTTCTTGCAGTCCAATAAAACCCTTAAATACTACTGTTACATTGTTGGTTTAAAAAAAAATCACACTTTTTTGTGCTAAATAGACATTTGCTTCCTGCGGTGCACTTCATATCTGAGAGTCAAATAGAACCGTCAAACACTGTGCTTATATTGCAGTTTTAAACATTTGAATTCTTTAGGTGCTAAAAAGTCAATTTGTGGCCTGCACTTCATATCTGAGAGTCAACTAGAACCGTCAAATACCAATATAACAATATTGTAATTCGGGGAAAATACCCTCACAAGTCAAACTGAGAGGTCAGTTTATAGGGAAAACTGTTGCCTGTGTTCTGTCAAATTTCCCTACCCGTGAAAATCCCCTACCCTCGTCACTACCGGTGAGGGGAATCAGCTGGATCCTGTGCTGCACATGCGTGCTAGCACTCCTGCTACTCCTCCACAGCAAGGTCCTGAAAGGTAAGTAAAACTAGTTTTAAACTTTCATTATAGTTAGTGCATTCACTAAGCTTAGGACATGGGACATTTAGGGTTAATGTTAGGGTTTTAAATTAGGGTTAGAATTAGGGACTATTGTAAATGCTTTCCTATGCGACCGGCTGAATGCGTGCGCAGCTCTTGCCGAATGGGCAGAGAAGAGGAGGATCGGAGGAGGAGAGCTTCCCGCCCGGCGCTGGAAAAAGGTAAGTTTTTACCCCTTTCCCCCTTCCAGAGCCGGGCGGGAGGGGATCCCTGAGGGTGGGGGCACCCTCAGGGCACTATAGTGCCAGGAAAACGAGTATGTTTTCCTGGCACTATAGTGGTCCTTTAAATGAATTGCATTTAGGTAATAATCCAAAAAGAAGATGTGCAAGTAATCAACAACACAAAGTTCATTAATAAGTATTTCCTCAGAGAAGCATTAAGTAACATTCTTTAAGTTCATGAGAATAATCTTCAATAGTAACATTAAGCAAGTAGCTGAGAATATTTGCAAAGCAGGAACAGCTCAATAAGCATGATGGGAGTTGGCCTCCATATAATTAGTAGCTTGTAGCACTGAGTGCATTTGAGTAAGCAAGCATTAGTTCATTAATAAATGATAATGTAGACAAATAGCTGAAAGTTATACTTAAGGTTAAAATGAGTAGTCCTCCAATAGTCCAGAGATAAAGTCCACTTGTAAAGTAAGTGAGTTTCCGTTCTCCAGTAATCCTCTATGACATGAAGCATACTTGTCTTAGTCCAGAAGGCTAGGACAACTTCAGAGTTTGTAGAGCCGGCGTGTCCCAGGAGCCGGCGTACATATTCGGAAGTAGGACCCACATTGCCAGAGCTTGTGGAGAGGTAAGTCTGGCGGAAGTAGTTCCCAGTAGCTGAGCCTGTGGAGCCCGCGGTCTCGCGGAGGCAGCTCACACACAATCACCAAGCACCCTCTCTCTGGCCCAGTCTCCTTAAATACCGTCAGAGCTGTGTCAGAGGGGGGCGGGGTCCGGCTCTGCCCAGCGGAGTGCCGAACCCGGAAGTGTTACCCCATGACACTCAGATCCTGAAAGATGCCTGGCCAGAAGAAGCTGTGGGTGAGCCGAGACGCTGTCCGGCTCCTGCCCAAATGCCCTGCCAAGGGGATATCGTGAGCTAGCTTCAGCAGCTCATACCAATACTTCTTGGGTCTAGGGCTGGTGGTCTCTCACCAGCTGTGTCGTTGGGGAGCCCATTGAAAATTGTTTTAGAATTTCCTCCAGGCAACAGTTTTCCCTATAAACTGACCTCTCAGTTTGACTTGTGAGGGTATTGCCCCCGAATTACAATATTGTTATATTGGTATTTGATGGTTCTATTTGACTGTCAGATATGAAGTGCAGGTTGCAAATGTACTATTTAGCACCAAAAAAATTTGAATGGGTCAAACTGCGCTGTAAGCAGAGTATTTGACGGTTCTATTTGATTCTCAGAAATGAAGTGCACAACCCAAATTTACTTTTTATCACCCCAAAAATGGGTCAAACTGCGCTGTAAGCAGAGTATTTGACGGTTTTATTTGACTCTCAGATATGAAGTGCACCGCAGGATGCAAATGTACTAGTTAGCACAAAAAAAGTGTGATTTCTTTTAAACCAACAATAACAGTAACAGTAGTATTTAAGGGTTTTATTAGACTGCATGAAATGCAGGACGCAAATGTACTATTTAGCACCAAAACGATTGCAGTATTTAAAAATGCCTAGATGTTGCCTACTGAGCTACCAGAACAGGATTAAGGTAATGTGCCTGGCACACATGCACTCTCTGTGGCACTGGGCTCAGGGAAGGGTACAAAAATGTAGTATAGCACCCACTAAAATAATTCAACACCAGAATTTTTCCTAATCTGTCCCTCACAGCAGCAGCATCCTGTCCCTACACTAATACGAGCTCATGTGACGTGCGGCGCTATGTGACTCCAGCTTATATAGCGGCTGGGTCACATGCTGCACTGGCCAATTACAGCCATGCCATTAGTAAGCATGGCTGTGATGGCTTCTAAGGGCAAACGGGTCAAACGCTTGTTGATTGGCTGCCCTGCAGCCTTTCAAAACGCGCCATTAAATCATTGAATACCGAGCTCCAACCCGAACATACACTGATATGTCCATGTTCGGGTCCGGGGTCCAAAAACCATAATGTTCGGTACGAACCCGAACTTTGCGGTTCGGGTTCGCTCAACTCTACTTATGAGTGTTTTTCACCTTGTTGTGAACCCCTTGTATTGCGCTCATGAAGTCTTCTCTTAATGTTACACTTGGATAATGATGTCTCCCTGCAGGAGAGTGTTATTTACATGGCTGGATGTTGTGAAGGGTTTTTCCCTTTCCAGGGAAAGGATCCTACGATCTTCCATTACTGTTGTTTTCCGTGGGCATCCAAGCCATTTTGTGATGCAGAGTTCACCAGAGCATTCTTTTTTTCTGAGAATGTACCAAACTGTTGATTTGGCTA